TTTGTGCGCAATCTGGACTGGTGAAAATAACTTGATATTGATGCACATGTTTCTATAATTTTTTTGACTTTAACTACATCTGCTGTTAATTTCTCCCATGCTAAAGAAGTGCGATGCATAGCACACCAAACTTTTATCAGTGGTAAATATGCTCGTTCCTTTTAAAGAATAGACCACAGTATATTTTTATCACCTGAATTAATTGAAGCTCCATCGATTACAATTGACGCCTTTAAGCCTAGTAGATCACTCCATGATATAACTTGATTAACTGCTTTTTTTACTGCATCGTAAGATGCTTTGACACCTTAAGACATTGGCTCTTCAAAGCTTAAAAAAATTATTCAGGATTACCTTCATTAGTCACTAACATGGACTACTACACTGGACTGGAAACGTCAAGGGAGGCGAGTGATGGGAGCCAGTAGATTAGTAACACAAATGTCAAATACTGAATATGAAACATAAATGTTAAYTGAACATAGACGCCATTATATGTTTATTCACTATTGAACTAATAGTTCAAAGGCAACATGTAAATGTATTCAAAATTAAACATTAATTTTAATTACCTTCAGGAGTCAATTGTATACATGTTTTTGTTGTAGGCAGTGAAATTTCATCACTATTATTAATTTGTACATCATTACAACGATTATCATTTTTTTCATCAACTAAAGTTAAAAAATGGACAAATTAAATGTTGAACCCTGATTGGTATATAATGAGAGCACATAATAATAATCAACCTAATAGAACTTAACTTCTTATAACATCTGTTAGTTTTTTTAAAAAGAAATCCGTAATTTTACTATTGCATATTTTTCTTTTGTTTTTATAATCCATAATTTATATTTTATTGTTAAACACAATTAGTACTATTCCTGCTATTATAAWAAATAATAATCAAATCTTAARCTCAAAGTTAGTCTTAACTATAAATGAAAGATGGATAAATCTTAATTCCGTGGTCTTAGGGAATTCAATTTCATTAATTTCATTTTAATCTGAAAACTCTTTTGATTCTTGTAAAAGAGTATCAACTGACTTTTGTGTCCTCAATTTTGATCATCTTTGTTCAGCAAYATCAACTGTTGTTAATGCTTGAATGTAATCATTTKAAGGAGTTTGAAAATTAAAATATTTTAATAGTGGAGTAGTAATATCAAATATTTTGTTCATTAAAATTATAACTGTAACAARACTAAAAGAAGTGACATTCTTTAGCACGGTCTTAGAAATTCGGAGAAATATTTATCACTTTATCAGGGATTATGTGTTTGGACATAGAATTTGTGAAGAACATTTTTCATCAGCAGATATTGTTAGGGAAAAAATTGTGAAAGATTCTAAAGATTCTATTTTAAAAGATTTCAGTTCTCTTGTCCTGAGCATAAATGTGACATTCTTGCATTCTCAATAAAATACTATTTAAATATGCGAATGAAGCAGTGGTCAAGAAATGAAAATAGAGAAACTGTAAAAACAAATGCGAAAAAAACTTTCTAAATTTTGTACCTCCTAAATTTAAAATGTCTATATTCCATATAAAGTAGGGTCATTGGACCCCCCCCCCCCCATATTATTTATTGTATAAATTAAAACAGATTGTATTGTTTTCTAATAATAACAAAAAAAAACTTTATCTTGTTAGGTAGGTATAATAATTTTTATTTTACATTTGTGCCATTATTTTATATAATAGGTATATACGAATTTCCGATGACAAAAGTATTTAATTTAAAAAGAACTTAAGTAGTAACTAAGTACCTATAAACTATAAAAAAAGAATTGACGTACTTACATTATTATTATTAATTATTCCTACTACCTTTTTTTTTTCTGTTTAAATCACTGCATGGAGGCCGAACTGTTTTGCTTAGCCCCCATGCAGCAACGTTTATTTATAAAAGTCATAAATTTATACAAGTAAAAGTAA